AATTCTCATTATAATTAATATGTACTCATATTAAAACAGTGAACTACTTATAGTATACTTAACATTTAACAAGTGTATTCAGTGAAAGGACATGTCTGAGTGCATTCAATCTTCACAGTAATTTTATTCAGGGATAAGAGTAATGCCTTCTTTAAGAATAATAATCCCTGGTACTGAGAAAATAAATATTCAGTCAGTGGACATCACATGGATTGAAAGTGAAAGAACTTACTGAAGAATGTCACCTAAATAATACATATTATATAATAGTCCCTAAAATTCATTTTGATACATGATACCTTTGATTTTTTATTATTTTAATTACTATAAATGAACTCATATATGTGCATAAACAAACACACACACATATATATTTATATACATATATACATATACATATATATATATACTTTTTATTTTGGGGTAAATTTAATCTTATTATATTTTCTTTATTTTCTAAAGTATACTTCATAGAGATGTGTATAACATTTGTTAGTCTAAATACTTGAAAAATATTGGTTTTGGAAGTAGGAATTCTCTATATTTGAAGTGTTGGCCTGAAGGTTGATGATTGAAATCTTCAGTGAGTTCATACAGAAGCTGCCAAATATTGAATCTGTGTTCATTTTATATTATTCACAATTATACCAACTTCTTCCCTCAAAACCTACAATTAATTCATAGACTAATCCTGGAAAACATAGCACACTTTGTAACTCAATCAGCTGGAGCTATGAAGTTTTATACAATGACTGCCTTGTGTGTTGATGAACCAGAGGCAAGTTTGCAGGCCAAGCCCAGCATCAGGACATAATTTATCGTCCCTTCGCATCAGTTCAAATAACAGAGCTTAACGAAGGTTGACAGGGTTGTTTGCATTCCTCTCTCATCAGAGCATAGCAGAGAGTGTGCTGGTGAACCTGTGATTTCTTACCACATCTTCTATCTGTGTCCACTGTCTCCTCATGGACACGCCCCATTTTCCCACTGCTTTCTTCCACTCACTTTGTTTCGATTTAAGAATTTTAAGGAAAAAAAATATGGGTATGTTGGTGTATGCCTGTAGCCCCAGCCCTTGAGAAACTGAGGCAGGAGGATGGCTGCATTTTCAAGGCCATCCTGGGCAACAAAGTAAATTTGACCTTAGTCTGACATATATAACAAGATCTTCTATAAAGAAGCAAATAATAAATAAATAAATAATATTGCTAAATATGCTTTATTATTTACAACAGGTAATTATATTTTGCATCTTAACTGTTTTATTTTTTGCCAGCTGTATTATAGCATTCCTTTGGGATATAGGATTTCGCCTTCTCTTGTGATTTTCTTGTAATCTATCATTTCTTTTACTTACAGGAAATATACACGTTCATGAAAAAAGAATGACTTACCAAAAGTTTGTGCATCTGATTTTTTAGGCAGAAATGTGGTTTCATTTTATTTAGTTAGCTACTGATTTTGCTGACTATAATAAAAGTCAGGCCTATGGTCTAAGCAAACTTTCAGGCAAAGACCTCAAGTTTGGAGTCCCTTTGAGAAAATACTGGAGCAAGCCAGTAGGGTCTGCCCATTCAGTCTGAGGCCTTCTTACCAGTGCTAAAAGCCAGCTGAATAGCTTCTGTTTGTTTGCCTAAATTCCCTGACAGATTTGCATTCACATTAATACTCTTTCGATATGCACTTGGAGAATAAAAATCAAAATTTTGTATTGCTGCTTATCTGTTTCATTCAGTTTGCTATTTATTAGGAGCAATTTTTCCTGCAATCTTGCTGTCCTCCTAAAATAAAACCCATGCAGTGTGGAAGGTGACACAGGTGACCTCTAATAGAGACACCGAGGAGAACGTGACCACTCTGCTTCAGTAGTGTCTCTTAGTTGAGGAAGCAGAGAAACCAGAAATCCCAGCTAATTAGAAGATAAGAATCTGGCAGATGTACAGAGCCAGAAGGAAGCAATGCAGTTTCTCAGCCTCTGTCCCGGTTACTCCAGTTGCTTCATCTCTGTGAAGCAATTAACCTTAACAAGTATTTCTTCTATGCTAGCAGAGGAAAATACAACAGTGCTGCTCAGGTCTCAGGGACATCTTCTTCAGGAGTGACTTTATGTAACTGTCTTCACAGAGGGGCTGGTTTGTTAGTCTTGGCAGAGTTATCCAATGCAAGGATTATTGTCCACCCTGGTTTACAGGTTAGGGAGCTTAAGTGACTTTCCTAAGTTTGCAGTGGTCATAAACTCTTCTGGGCCTCAGACCGGATTTGTTTAACTCTAGAACCCAATCTTCTTTTCTCTGTGGGTCCTTTAAAGTCGGGTGCTGGGCCTGTGACTCCTGCCTGTGGAGGGACTGATACAATTCAAATCTAACTCACATTCAGCTAACAAGATGAACTGGGAACTCTGTCACTCAAATAAATTACAGATAAAAGAAGGAAACGTAATCCTTTAAATTCATGTCTTTACAAAAAGAAAAAGAAAAATTTCCAGTCCGATAAATATAATAAAACCTTGAGTTTCACTGGATAAGTGAGTATTAGAGAATCATCAACTAAGATCATTTAGAAATTGATTATGCTATGGTTTAGAGGGAGCCACGAGTCACTTTCTTAGATGCAAATGTCTGCAAAATAACGATTATAGATATGAAGATTTAAGTGGCACTTTACCAACATACTCTTTCTTATGTGCCAATACACCTTCAGTTTTTTCACACTGTGTGGAAAAATAGTGTCACTAGATATGCCTTAGAGACTCCCTGATAGTTTCTAAAAATCTATCTTCTGTGTTTTAATATTTGGAATGTTTCTACCCAAGAGTACTCTGAACAATTGATCAGCCTGTCTTAGATGTTTAGCCATATAAAATATCATCATACTAATATTCAAAGCTATCTGTGTCCATGTATGAATATATATGCACACATCATTTCACAGTAAAATCATATTAAGAAATATTAATTATTCTTTATGGGAAGGACAATACTTTCATACAAAATATTATCAGGCATATACTTGATATATATATGAAATGATTTTTAGAATTGTTATAAGAAAAGCTGAAATTATAGAATGCAGTTTTAATTTTGAATCTAAAATAGTATATGTCTGTGTGTATACATGTGTGTTTGTATACATCTCTCTCTATCTGTGTGTGTGTCTTTGTATATGTGTGTATGTCTATGTGTCTGTCTGTGGTTGTGTCTTTGAATGTGTGTATGTGTGTGGCTGTTGTGTCTTTGAATGTGTGTATGTGTGTGGCTGTTTCTCTGTCTCTGTCTCTCTCTGTCTCTCTCTGCCTCTCTCTGTCTCTCTGTCTCTCTCTCTGTCTCTCTCTCTCTCTTTCTGTGTTTGTGTGTGTGTGTGTGTGTGTGTAAAACTGCACTATAATATGGAAAACTGTAGCTTAGACATATTCATTTGGAACATTTTGTATCAAATTGCTCAAGAGCATGAAGCATGGACTTCCCACCTTTGTTGTGTGTCATATACTTCTGATTTGCTAATTACAACATATGGTTTTGTTTTTTTTTTCAGAAATAGCAAGGTCTTGTGTTCTAGCTCTGTAATCCTAGCTACTCCATAGGTTGAGGCAGCAGGATCATAATATCAGTGCCTACATAAGCTACAGTGTTAACTTAAGGCCAACTGCATCAAGTTAGGAAGATCTTATCTCAAAACAGAAAAGGGGGCTAATGACATAACACAGATAACACAGGGGTAAACTGTTTGTCTTGCCTATGAAAGGTACTAGCTTTAAGCTCTTTCATTAAAGTAATATAATCTATTTAATTTTAAAAATGTTTTCGTGTGTGTGTGTGTGTGTGTGTGTGTGTGTGTGTGTGTGTATGTACCATATACTTATCTGTTTCCTGAAGTGGCCAGAAGAGGGTGTCAGAGGCATCAGATCAATGTAGGTCCTCTGGAAGAGTACTAAATACTCTTGACTCTCGAGTAGTCTGTCTAGCACCAAAGTATTTTAAACAGTATATTTGCACTATGTTGGCATTTAGTGCTCGTGACTCTGAGATAAAATTCAGAGCACTTCAGCTTAAGTTGTGCTAATCTTAGACATTCTACATTAGCCACAGTCTCTCGATAGATTCAACATTTCTTGACCATTTCTCTGGTCTCATTTCAATTTTTAATATTATGTCCTATTTTCATCTACCTTCTAACAGGGTTACAGATGAACCACCCATGATATTTAAACATCTTTAAGCTGTTTTCTGTCTTTTGTGGTTATTAGACTAAAAGATTTTTTAAAATAGTAACTTTTCTTTTTGTGTCTGTGGTATTCTTGAAATTTCAACTTTTCTTTATATCCTGACCAGTTGCTAGAGTCACTCACTTTTGTAAGTCAAATTGTGGCTTGCAAAATGCACTTCCCAATTCTGTATTTCAATTCCTGCATTATAACTCCACGTGCTGCCTCTGTGTTCTAATAAAAACACATTTCAAGAGGCTTAAATGAGAGATGACAGTCCGAACAATATATCTTAGACTGGAAGGCATTTGCAATTATTTCATAAAACCATGCCAAAACATTGTCACATTAGAGCATCTCGGATGGCAAATTCAATAAAGCCTCTTCAGAGAAACACAGTTTTTGTAAAGTTCCTCTATAAGTCGGTCCAGGTGACTTCCTTTTATACAGACAGGATTATTTTCAAAATAATGGAGGGAAGGGAGAAAAAAAGAAACCCAAACTCTTTCCCGGTAGCGATCTCCTTCAGAGCCATCTGGGAAGGGAGTTTTGCTTGGTCACAAGTGACTAGTCCATGATTTTGAAAGGAGTGATTCATCCTCCTTTGAAACAGGAGATAAGTGGGGGAAAGAGCCGAGTTAAAAAAGACTTTACAACTGTTTCCTTTGGAGCTATGACTTCTTTAGCTGGAATGCGATCCAGAACAGTTTCCCTTTGAGCCTCACATTTGCCTTGAGGAGTTTTCTTGTCTCTCTTCCCCCCACACCCTTCTCACTTCTTCCTTCCCTGTCTCCAACAGATTTACACTGACTGGGCCAACCACTACCTGGCAAAATCTGGCCACAAGCGGCTGATCAAAGATTTGCAGCAGGACATTGCGGACGGGGTCCTTCTGGCCGACATCATTCAGATCATTGGTGAGACCTGCTCTCTTAAACTCTGAGAGGCTCTGCTCCTCGCTCTTTTCGCTACAATGTAGTTTAGGTAGAACAGACACAGAATTGTTCCCTGTATCCAGGAGTGCTGTGGGTGTGGCTATCTCCAATGTAATTAAATGTGTTTACGTGAGACTAAAAACAAGACATTCTGGCCATGCGTTGAAATAGTTGGAACAGTGTCTTTACACAAGAGCATTGTCAGAAATGAAAGCTTCATTAAACCATATGTCTCCCATGTGTGCATTTTATTAACCGGAGTAACTCATACATTGAGACTCCTTGAAACTGGATCTTGATCCAGCAGTGACAATTGTGAAAGGTCTCATGTCAGCAGTCATTTGGCACATACTGGAAAACCAGCAGCAACTTCCTTTTTTTTTCTTTCTTTCTTTGCTTGACTTGTGCACATAGAATTGTTGGCTGAGAACAAGTGTGTTCTCTCCTGTCCATGGCTAGGAGAGTGAACGGGAAGCAGGGGTATTTCTGCTTGGTTTGTTTGTTTGTTTATTTATTTATTTATTTATTTATTTTAAAATCTCCTTTCTGTATGTTTTACCTCATTGCTTATTGCTTAAGCATGTTGTCCTTTTATTCCTCTCTTTTGATTTTAATCTCTTGATTTTAGCAAATGAGAAAGTCGAAGATATCAATGGATGTCCGAGAAGTCAGTCTCAGATGGTAAGAGGCAGATTTATTCTCATTCACAACGCTTAGCCCTGTTTTCAAAGTTAACTGCGTTTGCATGATTGCTTGAAAGTTTGTCTGCATGCCTTCCTGCTTGTATAAGGAATCATCTGCTCCCAGTATTCCTGTGTGTTCAGCGTCAGTGCAGCCAACATCAGATTCTGAGGAATTCTGACTACTGTGCACCACGCCTGTAGGTGTGTTTTCTGACCTTTGACCTATTTTTTCTTTCCTTCTTCTGTTTGTTCTAATGTTCTGTAGTATGCAATTCTGTACAATGGGCTTTCTGTCAGTAAACTTAATTTCAAGTTTGAAGGAAAAGAGTTGATAGGGCAGCTGTTTTTGGAATAGCACCTACTGTGTGCATTTTTTAAAATATAAGCATAGCATTTTAGGTGTTCTTCAGGAAGGTCGGTGTAAGCACATGATGTCCTGCAGCTGTTGGAAACAGCTCTGAAGGCTTGCTGTAGCCTGTATACTGAACAGTATATGAGATAAGCATCATAGTAGCTTCCAGAAAGCCCTCTGTGTGGAGGCCTTTTACCTCAGCAGCATCTGTCCTTTCCCATCTAGCAAAGCTTAACATCTATAAATAAAATCATAGATTGATAAACAGCTGAGAAAACAAACAAACAAAACAAAATAACTAGTCACAAAGCCACAAGTTATTTTTCTGGGATGAACATAAGACAGACTGCTTGTAGCGAGGATATACCAGGCATTACCAACCTGAATAACAGCCCAAGTCTCTAAGGTAAGACTGCTTCAGAGAGTTCTCATGTTCACATAGCATAGGCGCTTTCAGTGTCTTAAGGGATCCTTGTCATAGACTTGGTCAAGTGAAAAACTCACGAACTGCTTAAACCTGCTGACCTGCTTAAATTAATGTCAGGAAACTTAAATCCAGTGTAACAAAAGGAATCCATTCTTCAAGAAGTGATTCATTAGCCTGCTCCAAACAAGAGCACGCGAAAAAAAAAATCAAAAAAAGAACTATTAAAATGTGACGATCTACATCTGTTGTGAAAAAAATCACCATAAAGATATGGTCTCTGTAAAAGAGAGCAGCTTGGAGGGTATTTCCTGAACGAATTACTCTCAATGTAAGTGGTTCTCTGTGGCAATTAATTACGTCTGCTATGTAAAGTTTTACTGCTGGTGTGCTAAGTAGGATAAATGTAGCTGCTGCTATGCTAGCGGTTCTGTGATGCTGGAAAAACGAGTAAACTCTCTGGGCTTTCTCAGTTGCAAAATAAACCCTAATTAAATGATAAGCACACACATACACACACCCATTTCATTATATATAATGAACATTACATATTACATATTATATATTATATACAATGAATATATTACATATTAAAATTAGTGTGTACGTATAACACTAATTTAATAAAATTTTATGTACGATTATATATATATGTTATAAATAGAATTTATTATAAACTTTGTTAAGTAATATATGAACACATTAACACCTGCTAAAATATTAGGAGAGCTTTTTCTTGAGACATTTGTTAGTCCCTGAGATGCATGTACCACAGTCATGAATCCTAGGACTTGATTTTTATCATTCTAACCATAAGGGAGTAGTACACAATGTAAAGTGTCTTAAGTCTAGAGCCTTCCACCTGTTCTGGTACCCTGATGTCATGCTGCTTCCTGAGGATCTGATATGCAGACAGGCTCATTTATGATGACAGAAAGCAAAAAAAAAAAAAAAAAAAAAAAGTCTCCAAAGCTCAAAATTAAGGAGGGGCAATCCTCTGATATCGATCTGAACTATCTGGACCTAGAATTTCTACAGATCTGCAGAAGTATCTTAATAGCCGACTCTGTTACTTTCAGCTGGTCTCTGGTTTGTTATCAGCCCTGCTGTACAACCACTGGGGTGCACGCTATCTTAGTACTCCTGCTTTTGACAACACAAAGTGATGGCATTATAAAACCTGTCATTTTCTCCCTCTAGAAAGTGTTAGTTGGGGTCATATGACATTTTGAATCAGGCCAATTTGGATCGTGGCTTTCTGATTGGTTCAACTTCAATTCTGACGTTGATGCCAGCCCCCTCTGTTAATTGAGAAGAAAAGCTGCGAAACAAATGTAATTTCTGCTGGACTATTTTTGTCACTGTTCTTTAGAATTTTATTGGCACTGTGTGATTCATGAGTACAAAGCCCAGATGAGAACAGCGACCAGACAGGAAGAGACAGACAGTTACTGTGACATGACTAGGTGTATGGATCAGAGATGATACTGCAGATTGTTACTGTACAACTCAAAGCTGTGCATCAATAATAGAATGCCATCCTTGTCCACAGAACTTTCTTTCTTATGAATTATCCATCTCATCTTTTGTGACCTTTGGTTGCTGTCTGTGTTTATTATCAACAACAAAACAGATTTAAAAAATATCTTCTAGTACTAGGTGGTCTGAGCTTACATTTCAGACTCTATGGCCATTAGAGAATCATTTAAAGCACTTATGAATAGAATTTCTTGAGACCAGAAGCTGTGGTGTATTGATCCATTTTTGTTAGCAGGTAATTCCACATTTAGCCAATGTTTACTTGGAACTTTAAGGTATCTGGTAGCAAAACATTTGTATGAAGTCCATATAAAGATCAGAGTTGCAATGTAAGTACCCAAGAGTCACAGAGTTGCATATGGAAAACAAAAGGTCCCAGGAGTTAGGGATCTTGGTGTGTTCCAGAAAAAAACTTTGTAGATTGAGCCTAGCTAAGGATGTTAGAAGGGGAAGGCAGAACCTAACCATATAAGAGTCATGTAAAGAGTTTATGTGATGTTTTGAATGAGTGGAGGATAAACTGGATGACATTTCATGCTTAGCTATGTCAAGATATGATACAATCATTTTTAAAAATCACTGTAGATGCTACCTAACATACATAGAATGGATGTTAGACTCCAGCTAGATGTGGAAGATGATCAGTTAGTTTTTGGTTTTTGGCCAAATATACAAGCTGGGAATTTCCGTTGAAGAAACCAGGCTGGAAGGGGAAAGAGAAACTGATACATTGATATTCCCTGTCTATAGAGTTTGAAGCCTATCGGACCGTAAGGCAGGGAATGAATATCTTAAGTTGTTACCTTGAGCATCTGAGGAAGTTGGTGATTAGACCATGCTCATACACAGGTGATGGATGGCAAGGAGGAAATCTCAGCAGAGGTTTGTGTAAATTCAACAGGGAAAGGTTTATGATGGAGAATATTAATATTTATGAAGTAGAAGTCAGGAAAGGAGAAATGGTGAGTGAGTGTGAGCTCCCGGAGACAGCAGACCACAGGTGTGTCTTGTTAATGCTCAAGATAGATGTCATGGTTCAAGCTATGGTGTTTCCTTTAGCACAAATACTGAGTAAACAGAGTTGATTATTTCAACGTAGCAGATGCTGTCAAATGCTACCAAGTCTGGTTAATATGGTTGGTTGAGAAAGTCAACTTTGGTAATCAGATGGATGTTCATAGCCAATGTGGTATCCACTGAGCCACAATTCACTTGTGTGGCTATCAAAAAGGAAAGAAAAGCTGTCGGAGAAACAGCTGGACTGGGAGTAGTTTTCTCAGTGGTGAAAAGAAAGAAGAGACTGTAGACTAGAGACTGGAGTGATGGCTCTGCGTATGAGCACTTGCTGTTCTTATACAGGACCCCACTGGCAGCTTGCAACGGTCTGCAACTCCAGTTCCTGGAATTTGACATCCTCTCTGACCTCCACAGGCTCCCAACACACATGATGTAAGGACATCCATGCAGACAAAGCACTCCATACACAAAAAGTAAAAAATAAATATATCTTTAAGAATGTAGCAGTAAAGAAAGAACTATGGTAACAAGGGACAGGAGTGGTGGTGTAGATTCATAAAGGAAGTGATACAGAAAGGTATTATGAAATCCTTGTAGATGATTGGCCATTAGGGAAGAATATTAAGAAAACAAACAAAAAAAACCCCATTTTCCTCTGTCATAGAGGATATGAATATGTGATTTGTGGCATTGAAGTAGATTAAACCAATATTGAAAGAATCCAAAGCAAATGAAATTATGTATGTACAGGTATATAAAAGAATATAACAATGTGATTTTAGATAACGTGTTTCAGAGGGCACATATTTAAAAAATAACTCTATTCCCTTTGAAATATGTAGCTATACCACTCAGGGTTTCAAACACTTTATCAGTCTTATGTTTTATCAGTGACTTTCAGGTTATGATCACTTTGAAACATAGACCTAGTACTGTGAGAGCTGACCAAACACTATATTTAAGATGAAATTACTAATATGGATGACACCTGTTGAGTGATTTTTAGGTAGGTATTAAATCAGATCCAAACTATATACTCTGTATGGCATAATAATGTTGGTGAGCTGACATAAGGAAATAAATTAATAAACTATAAATACCAGGAATGCCCTGAATGTTCAGTAGATTAAAAATAGCAAAAGGAAAAAAAAATGGCCAGCATTTACTTGAAAGGCAGGGGCACAAGTGTAAGCTTCTCAAGCAAGAATGTTAGACATGAACGAAAACTGTTTCGAAAACAAGTTCTTTTATTTCATCTTCAGATAGACTGTTATATTTCAGGATCCTCAGAAATGCCCAGATGATTTAGGGATTTGACGGTTTGAAATTCTTGTTAGGCAAGAATATGTTTCTATGACATAGCTGAGGGTTAAAAATGGGCAGCTCAAAGCTTGTCTGTTCTTGATGGTGCATTCCTGTATGTGACCCTACTTCTAGCCCACCTGTTGTTTAGCCACAACTTTTAGCTGTGTTTTCTACTCATAACCTATATGTCGTTGTATACAATTTGATGACAAAGGGTATTTTAGAATGTTTGTTCTTCTTAAGTGCTTTTTAAAGATGTTCTTAGAAGACAGAAAAATAGGACTCAGTGTCCCCTTCTCTGTGATTCCATGACCCACAGGGATATGGGTTCTAAAGGAAATTTCTTCTGAATATTGTAAAC